GTTTATATTTTTGGTGTTTGATTCGCTCTTTGTGTTATGGGTGGAAGTCTTAACATCTCGCTTGAAGTCTCAAAGAATTTATTCACATGATAACGATGGTGAGTCTCTAATGACTTCATCGCTTTATTAAAAGCATGTTTAGATAAGGTTAAAAAAGTTTTTTTTTTATCTAAATAAGCTTAGATACGCTAATTTTCCTAACATATCGTTCAAAAAGTTAATAATTTACTTATAGTTAAGCTTTTTAAGTTTAGTAAAAGAAGTTTTTAATAACTTTTTATTAACGACAGTTTCCAAAACTGTTCATTTTATTTATGTTTTACATATTTGTTGTTTAAATTCTAATTTAGTTATAAGTTGATTTTCTTACTTTATAACTATATGACCATCAATAACATGGGCCTTTTCATTCTAGAAAAAGATTGGTTTTCAGTTACATGCTAAAACTGTTGCTTTTTAGCTGAATTAGTGTTTAAGCGCAATAATACTGATTTTGTAGATACTAAAAAAGTGAAACATAATTTGAAATATTCGACGAATTAGCTAAAAATGTACTTTCTTCTATGGTTTTCTTTTTATTTTAATGATGTGTATAATTTCTAATCTAATCAACTTATATGGGTTGAAAATTCATTCAATAAGATGCATACAAAGTTGACTATTGTGACAGAGACTAAATTGCTCGAGGCACAAAATTGTGATGGAGAATACTAACATGTGTATTACTTATTTTTCCTAATGCGCTAGAGTTTATTTCTCATAAATTGTTTTGGCTCATTCCATATTGTGTATTCTTCTTTTACTTAATTTTCTAATATTTAACTGTATAATTTTTTTTATCTTTATTATTTTTTTAATTCCTTTTTTCATGTACTTATGTTGGGAAATTGAATTTTATTGAAATCGTTGTTTCTCTTTTATTTCAATGGTGTTTGGTACTCACAATAGATTTAATCAAATATTTCTTAATCCTGTAAACTTGCAATCTTTATATATGTCAAACGTTTCTATTATCATCTACATACACGTAATGTTTTCAATTTTATTTTTGGTGAGTTTTTTTGTGCAGTAATATCAGTTTTTGAAATAATCACATTATTAGATGGACCACTAGCGAATCAATAATATGCTCTCAAGACTCTTGAATAATCCAATAAATTTTAAACTTCTTTTTTTTTAATATCTACAATTTCTACATTAATAAAAACACAATAAATACAAAATTCATGTAATGCATGTATCAACAACTAGTTGAATTAAAATTTTCACTCAACTCCTTTTTATGGCATACTATTACTCACTCAACTCCCACTTGTCTATTTACAGCAGCAATCTTGACACTGCTCTAAATATGCCATTCCTCATCAAAATCCTCCTAAAAACTATCTTCCACACTCTTTAAACCACTCTACCCAAGTCGCCAAAATTCCATTTCCACTCTTCTCAGGAAGAGAAAATACATAAATTCTTCTTTTTAGCCTTCAAATCTTGAAAATGCTGCTACAATTGCTGGTTTTGTTTGTGGCTTTTGCCATTGGTGGAGCAGAAGATCCCTACAGATTCTTTACATGGAATGTTACATATGGTGATATCTACCCACTCGGAGTTCGCCAACAGGTTCGTCTGTCGCACAATCAGGATCCTCAAATTGAGACTTGAAGTTGCATCTTAAAAGACGCAAGATGGTGACTCGTTTTAGTATATCAATAATTTTCATTTGTTTTATAGGGTATTTTGATAAATGGGCAATTCCCAGGACCAGACATTTACTCTGTCACCAATGACAATATCATTATCAACGTGTTCAACAGCTTAGATGAGCCTTTTCTCATCTCCTGGTAAGTAACTAAGAACAATATATGCATATATTTCCTTTTACTGTCCTGAACATCCTAAAACTGCTGTCACTTTTTGCATTTGTATAGGAATATTTCTGTCTTTCGATAAATTATATCTTATGCGGTTGAAAAGTTGTGATCCGCATAAAATACAAGATTAAAATTAATTATTGACTTTGATTTTGATAAAAACTTAGATTATAATTTCTATCAAACCCAAGCTAAACATATTTTTCTTTTTGACTTTCGCAGTTATATTGTTGAAAGATTCAATACAATCGACAATACAATCACACGACTCGTGTGAATGTAATCTTCTTTAAAGCTAGGTACATTTCACCTAGGATCCTTAACCAAGTAAATGAGAGGAAAAATAGAGATTTTTTAATTCCCTCATACCCCATTTTTGTCCCATCTCCGTTTCGTTTACCGAAAAACCTCGATGGAATGGGGAAAGGAGTGAAATTAATAATAAAATATGGGAGTATCTATATAGGAATTTAAATCCAGTCAGTATTTATAATATATATGATGAATTTTAATGCTCTCTCCCTCTTAGTCCCAGAGGCTCAAATAAATATGAGGTAGACATGACATCCTTGTTTGGTCGGTCCAACCTAAGTTTACTATCCTTTTTAGAAAGTAAATCGACAAAAAAATTAAAAATTTATCAACTACACAAAAATTATTATTATTATTATTATTATAATTAATTCTTTGCTTTTATGATCATTTTGATTTGTCTAATTACAATTATTTCAAAAGCATCCATCTAATAGTGAAAAAAAATCATGTGTGGTCACATCATAATTTGCCAGGTTCCCAATGTATAATCTGTTTCCAGCTATGTCAATCAATTTTAGTGATTTGTGCCATTTACAAACATTATCTCCAAAAAAAAAATTATATATAAAAAACTGCAAATTGTCACATGAAAATTACTTTGGAATAGTTCTGACTTATAAAGAAAAAAAAAGAAAATGCAGTTTAAAGTGATTGTACTTTAAAATTCGATTTTCATTTTCACGTTGCAATCAAGCGGCTAAACTGAAATATGTTTTCTTCGAATATGACATTTTTCATGGAATTCGTTGCAATTAAACTTGGCCTAAGTTATTTTGATAATTGATATAGTATTAAAATTATTAAAAGTCTTGGTTTAAATTTGACCAGTGAATTTATAAACCAAGTTGTTTTTATGATCAATCAAGAAAAGATATTTAGTTGTTTAAGTCAATTTTCAAATGTAATGACCCAATTAGTTACACAAAAAGGCTCATCTCAGCTCAGTTTGTGGGCTCTCCTCTTAAAAGCCTTTTAAAGTTTGAACACAACACCAACTTCTTGTAACATCACTTTTTGCTTATTCATGTTGGTTTTGGTATGTTTGGTAAAGAAACTATACCGACGGTATGAACCGTTTCCTTGCTATCAAACCCCTTCTTAGGAGGATAGATGTGGCGACTCGGGTTTAATCCTATGTAAATCCAATTTTGGATTCGTTCATGGGATTCCGACGGTTCAAGAATCGCCACGGCTCCTCTTTTCTCGAGAATCCATACATTCCTATCAGTATAGTATATGGACAACTATCTCTCGAGTACTAGTTTAAGTTTGACCTCAATGAGAAAAGAAATTGCATTATAGTATTACCGAAAAGAAAGGAAGCTAAAATTTCGTTTAGCTCCTGCTTGATGGAAATTAAAATAAGTTTTTTAGTAAATTTTGATTGAAATTGATTAAATGTGTGATTAAAATTAACCGTTGTCTTTAATTTAGATTAAAATCTTAATTTTAATCTTTACCAAAGGCTTATTATACTGTTTAATTCCATGGAATACTGCTATAATTGTATGTATAGTTCATCTAATCTTGTGTTGTCGAAAAATGAAAATATAGGAATGGGATCCAAAACAGGAGGAATTCATATGAAGATGGAGTATATGGGACAACATGCCCAATTCCTCCAGGGAAGAATTTTACGTACATACTTCAAATGAAAGATCAAATTGGGAGTTTCTTTTACTTTCCATCACTTGGATTCCACAAGGCTGCTGGTGGTTTTGGGGGCATCAGAATACTCAGCAGGCCTAGAATTCCAGTTCCTTTTCCTGATCCTGCTGATGACTATACTATCCTCATTGGAGACTGGTATCAAGCTAATCACACGGTACGTAAACACGTAATCTTCTTATTTAACTTGACTTGTGTCCCTACTGAACTTTAGTCCTGGCTAGACTCCAAATTTGTCTGGAGTAAGACTTGAGAAACTCGTACACACTTGGGCATCACTAATTCAATCAATGATTCATATTGTTAGAGTATGATTACCAGAATTCTATTTGATCCGGCCTGAAAATCTCGTTGATTGACGTATGTGGTGAAACCAAAATTATGAGAATTTTTTGAGGTATGTGGAGTTCGCAATGCGACATGTGGTGAAACCAAAATAATGAAAAAAAATTACGTAACATGTTAAGTTAGTTGTATACTTTGTGTGAGATTTTCTTCCTTGAAGACAATAGTTTTTGCTTTTCACTAATGCCTATTTGATCTTCTTACATACAGGACCTGAGGGCGATTCTTGATGGGGGCAAGAAATTGCCTTTTCCCGACGGAGTTCTTATAAATGGTCGTGGTCTAAATGGTGCCTTTTTCACCGTCGAACAAGGTAAGACATCTTCACATGATATTTTCATGTGACATGTCTTTTCATGTTTTCCATTTCTGGGCAACCTAGGTGTGTGTCTATTAGCTTCCTCAAATGATCATTCTTATTTCAATATCTTCACCATTTTTGCATTATTATCCTTATGAAATGCCGTATAAACTAGTCGAATGAAATGTCAAATGGTTGTCCCTTTTGAACATTTAATCCACCATCTCCCTGCGTAGTGAAAGATCCAATTCGAATTTGTATATGACAGGAAAAACTTACCGGCTTAGGATATCAAACATTGGACTGCAAAATTCACTCAACTTCCGGATTCAAGGACATAAGATGACAGTGGTTGAAGTTGAAGGAACACACACTGTCCAAACTACCTACTCGTCCCTTGATGTTCATCTTGGCCAATCCTACTCTGTTCTGGTAACAGCAGATCAGTCTCCCCAGGACTACTACATTGTTGCGTCCACTCGTTTCACTACGCCCATCCTAACTACCACGGGCGTTCTTCATTATGCTAATTCAAATAGTCCCGTCTCTGGACCACCACCTGGTGGACCGACCATTGAGATCGATTGGTCTTTAAACCAGGCTCGCTCCATCAGGTACGTTTGCCTTTCTTTGTGCACTGTCATCTGCACAATTTGTGACCTTATGATTAACAAATAAAAACTTGACAATCTAAATTCGTATTTGTTTTAGGACGAATCTTACGGCAAGTGGACCGAGACCGAACCCACAAGGATCATACCACTACGGTATGATCAACACAACGAGAACTATCAGGCTCTCGAGTTCAGCAGGTCAGGTCAATGGCAAGCAGAGATATGCAGTGAACAGTGTTTCATTTGTACCAGCTGACACTCCTTTAAAGCTTGCTGACTACTTCAAAATTGATGGAGTTTTTCGTGTTGGGAGCATATCTGACGCTCCTACTGGTGGAGGAATATACCTTGACACGTCGGTCATGCATGCTGACTACAGGTCTTTCATCGAAATTGTTTTCGAAAACAATGAGGACATCATTCAGAGCTATCACCTCAGTGGCTACTCCTTTTTCGTAGTAGGGTAAGCACTTAACTTCTAAAAAAATTTAATTTGGCTGAGATATACACATAAAGCCATTCTTGAGTCGATGAACTTTCTTTTCAAATTTTTGGTACATGTGACGCCTTATAATCATAATTTGATCCAACATCAGAATGGACGGAGGGCAATGGACTCCGGCTAGTAGGGATCAATACAATCTTCGTGATGCAGTCTCACGATGTACTACTCAGGTGAGTTCAAAATAGCCTCAGTCCTCAAAAACATGATTATACAAAATGAATCCATTAGCTAAGTTTAAACCAGAAGACCTAAAATTCCCCCATTTGCTGCTAATTGCAGGTATATCCCAATTCATGGACTGCAATTTATGTGGCACTTGACAATGTGGGAATGTGGAACTTGAGGTCGGAGTTTTGGGCTCGACAGTACCTCGGACAACAATTTTACTTGAGAGTTTACACGACGTCTACTTCTTTCCGGGATGAATATCCCATCCCAAAGAATGCACTTGTTTGTGGTAGGGCTAGTGGCCGTAGGACACGTCCCCTTTAAGTTGGCAAACAAAGAGATGCGGCCGGCTAAAAAATTACTCCCCAGCTCGAGGAAATTAAGAATATACTTCTTCTATATATATATAGAGAGAGAGAGAGAGAGTGTTTTCTTCCTTGATAACTTCATTCGAATATCTCATGAACGTATTGACCTTAGCTCAAGGTCACAATCTTTCAAATTCCCACAAATATTGTCATGTTTGTTACTGTTTTTAGTTTGCATTCCATTATAGTAATTGAAGTTTTTCTATTTTGATGTAGTCTATATTTGATAGAAATGCTTTGTGAATGTTTGATATGCAGTATTGAGAGTGCAATTAACGAGATTTTAACATTTTTTCTTCTTTAATACTGTCAACTACTGTCCAATCTACGTTATTAAACATTCATACAATGATCCATTCCAAATGTAGATGAAAAGAAATATAATTGAGGCACTACTATTTCCACTAAGACATCGAAAAATAAGCACGGATTTAAGATGTTTGTGTCAATAACAAGATAATATCTAAAATGAACCTAAGCTTTAAGTTTGCCATCCATCTGCACCACCTACAATCATAATATGTATTCACTTTGTGAAACACGTCAAAATAGCTGAAATCAGAAGATACAGAGACGTATCTTCCAATCCGGTTGAACATTTAGTGAACCATCTCATCATCGACTAGATAATTGTTAATGATTCCACAACGGCGCAATGCTCCCACATCCTCTGAGGAATTTACTAGACAACTCCAAAAGAATGAAAAGTCCATGAAGTACCTTGGACGACCACTAGGAAGTAAGTCCTCGTATGCTATAAAATTTAGGAAGGGTGTCTCAGTGTCGACTGTAAAATCAAAAGCCGGGATTTTCATCACCCCGTTAATGAACCTAATGTCCCAAAAAATACTCTCTCTAGCGCTTTGAAACACGACTCCTGCCTCTTGCAGTTGCAGCTTTAATGTAGGATTTATATTGTCAGTTACTGAGTTACTTCAACTTCTTCTTCTTCAACAGGTTTAAATGAACACCAATTCTCATACACTACACCAAGAAGATGGTCAGCATCCTTAGTTAAAAATTCCGAGGTTTCTCCTGAATCATCGGACCAATGGGGCACGTCACCAAAAAAAGACCGGATTAGAAAACCAATACTGTCGTCTGGATGTCATGTTGAACAACTGATCAAGAACAAAGAAAGGCATTTGATTATCGAACAACAATAAATCATGATATAACTGGCAGCCAATCGTTCTGCGTTGTAAAATGATATCATTTTCGTCGTCATCAACCATGTAAAAACTACAAAGTAACTCAATGATGAAAATCCCATCAAGAAGCAGAATTTCGACAAACTCATCTTGGTTAAACTTGAGAGGTTCGGCATAAGAATTGCGCGCTTTTTCTTCCATAGATCTCACTGCCGCGACAAACTTGTCAACAGTGGATTCATTTGTACGCTTAAGAAGAAGCTTTAGGTACATGTATTTGTGTTGCTCCATCTTGCATAAATGATCTTCACCATGGTGAAAAGGACCTATCGCAAATATCCTTGGATCGTAAACATTCTGATTCATTTTGCATTTATCATCATCGACTCTTGAGATGGAAAGCTTTGCAAATGTACAAGGCAAGCCATTGAGTATATTGTCAATGCAAACAGCGACCTGATCTCTTAGTCTCGTCCATATTAATTTTCTACTTCCTACACATGAATCATGATTATAATAAAGATTTAGGGGGTGTTTGTTTTTTATTTGAGAATTGATTCTCAAATCAATTCTCATTTTCAACTACATATTTTTTCATTAAATAATATTTTGCATCACATTCAACCATACATTTCCCATCATATCACTATTCAAAATTAATTCTTCCCCCAAAAATTCCTACCAAACAAGTAAGTTAAGAAGATACGAAGCGGACGACTTGTTATAAGCACATATCATAAGATTCACAAGTACTTACCCACGTTTCTATCTGTTTATATATACTTTCCAAATATACTTCAAAGATATGTTTACTTATGTACTGGTAAAAAGATCACAACCCACCTTTTTTTTTCTTGTGCAATATTCACACTATTTGATTTATATCAATAGACTAATTTATTCTGTAATTTTTCCTAAAAGAAAAATCCTAGACTGGATTTGTTTATCTACGCATGCTATTTAACACCAGCAAATTTTTTTTTATAATATAATTGGTTTTACAGAAATTTCAACTAATTGCATGCATATTATTATGATGAAGTGAATTGAATTAGTACATTTTTTAATTGAATGATAGTTTGACTATGGAAGTCTCTTCCTACTATATTAGAATTTATTTAGTTAAATCGAACAATTTGATCTGACTACGACTCAAAGAAACGATAGTGATGAAAAAAAAATGATAAAAACCAAAAGAACTAGCCGTATGATATCGTCGAAGAGATCATCGAGTTAGAATTATCAAATATTAATGGGAAAAAAAATTGAGAATTTGTTCTTAGGGCGATTAAGAGAGAGAATAGTAATAAATATATATAGGTAACAAAGAAAATTGAATCCCAAGTCTACTCCCCAAACTTATAGTGTGTCCCACTAAAACTGAAGTATAACCAAGGTCATCTCCAGTACTGCACCCAGGGACGGATCCAGGATCGAGGTAGGGGGGGCTAATACGTAAAAAAAAAAAAAA